TAACGTTATTAGGGTTATTAGGGTTATAAGGGTAGTGTATTATTATGGGCAATTTTTATAGAATAGGGACTTATTAAGTAATAAAGCAACGAGCGATTACTGCTCTTGAGGGCCAATTCAGCCTTTATTTATATTAATTATTTCCATCACTTACAAATGCAACTTTACATTTAACTATTTAAAACTACTTTCAATTATTTCTCTAATACTTTTAAGGATGGTTAATTTGTACGTACATCCTCTCTTTACTTTCTATCTACCTCTTCGTATCTGAAATACTATTTTCGATTATAAATCGTATTATTTGCACTTTGTGCATTTTATGCATTTTTCACATAATTGATCATGGGTTTCAGGTTTCACATTTTTCTCCTGCTTAGATCATGAGTCTCATGCATGATCTTCTTCCATAAGCTGTTAAAGATCGTGCAGTTTCAGCTTGTGCAGGTCATTGAGCTCCAACTTGGACATTCGATAGATCTGTTCGATCCTATACTTCAAGAATATATTATAGGCATAGACAGGGTGGTGTAGTAGTGTCTTTTAACTATATCTCTAAACTAGCTTTGTTGCTAGCAGGTTCCGTTAGCATATAACATCCCTAAGTAGTATGCGTACACTAACGAATTTATACATTGCCTCAACTTCAGACTTCTCTGGAGATGATTCATTGTTAGGTTTATATTTCCAGAGTAGTCATTGGTTGTCGAAAAGGGTGGGGTACTGGGTTAACATCAATTGGGAGTAGATTCGTAACATCAACCATAATCTTATTCAATATGATCAGATTTCTGGATATTTGTATGTATATAAGCGTAATTTTTGTTGATCTGTAAACTTTTACTCTCTTTCACCTGTATTTTTGTATTTTTTTTGTCTCTTTTTTGTTCTTGACTTTAGATTAATTTTAGAAACCCTTTCGCTCTTTTTGGTAATTCGTCTCGATCTTCTAGATCCCCTTTTGGATTTTTTTTTTTTTTTATATCTAAATATATAGTATTCTATTTATCCAGACCGCTTATAATACTCCTTCAGTAGTGTAACATTAAACGGTGTCGCTAGGACCTTTTCTTCTATGGTTCGTAATTTATACACATCCTCTTTTAGTATCTGATGGATGTAAAATGGACCATCCTATTTTGGTTCTAATTTTATGCTTCAGTTGTATTTTTTTGAAGCACGGTACAACAGGACTTTATCACCAATGGACAAATTGAGTGAAAAATGTGCATTTCGGTCATACCATTCTTTTTGTTTTTGTTGAGCCTCTTGAATTCTTACCACAGCCTCATTGCATGTTACTGGTAAGTCTTCTAACAATTGAAATGTTTTTGTAATATGGTCCCTGCTAATATGTCTTCTGATTCAATAGGTAGGTGGGCTTCTCTTTTATGTATTAGAAAAAATGACATGATTTTGGTAGTCACATGCTTAGAGAAATGGTATACAAATAATACTGCAGGTATGACAAGGTTCCAATCACTAACATTATCTATTGACCTTGCAATAGACTCACACAAGATCTTGTTGTATCGCTCTACCAACCTGTTGGTCTGTGGGTGGTACAGTATTAATAGTAAGTGCTTTATCTTGAATTTCTCTAACAATCTATCGACTAGTTGATTTCTAAAGTGGATGCCTCGATCAAATAATATTTTCATTAGGCATCTGTGCCTACACACAACGTCTTCGAATATAAAATCAGCTACACTTTGGGCATCTGCTGTTAGGATCGCTCTAGCTTCCGGCCACTTGGTTATACAGTCGGTTGCTATGACTATATATCAGAAGTTTCTAGGAGTAATTGAAAGTGGGCCAATAATATCTATCCACACTTTGTAAAAAGATGCTATTACCAGTATGGGTTGTAAGAGTTCTTTATACTTATTCTTTGATAATTCTCACATGACTAGACATATCTCTTAATATATTCAAAGGCTTGGGGCCAATAATATGTTTTACAGATCTTCTCAAACATGGTCTTGGCTCTGAAGTGTCCACCAGGAGATGATCATGCATTAACAAGAGGATAGGGTTAATTTCATGCTTCTGGACTACTCTCAAAGGTTGGTCTTGACTTTTCTTATTTCTCTTATATATTAAACCATTTTTTAGCAAAAACGTTCTACTATTATTAATTAGTTGCTTCTTTTGTTTCTTATCTAGATTGTTGTCAATGTATCCATCTTGCAAGTATCTTCTTAATTGCTTGTAGTCTTCTACTTCCATTTCAGATTTCTTCTGCCAAAACACTAACTACCTAGGCTGGATTAGATTTATCATCAGATTTGGTGTATTTTCTTTTCCTTTTATTCTCTATCTTTTTTTTTTTTTTCTTTGCTTTATTTAAATCTTCATCTATTTTTCTAATTGTCGCTTCCTCTTCTCATCGCTCCAAGATTAAGTACTCTTTGGTCCTCCACCAATTAGTGTTTTGCTTGTCTTTGATCACTTGTATATTTAATAGCTCAGTGTATTCTAGATCGATTCTGGTGTCACGTAAGTATTCTCTCCTCACCAATTCTTGCTTTGCTCTGAAAATTATCCAGTTCCTTAATATTAATAGCTGGTTGGGTTTTGTCACAACTAGGTTAAATCCATGGTATTCAACTAGGTAGATGGCATTTCTTCGGTTCAGAATTTCCAATGCAAGATGCTCAAAATGAGTTGGGTGATAATACACATGGTATATATTGCTATACAATTTACTCAGCCTGGTGTATTTCAAATTTATCTATACTTGGTTCCTAGCTTTATATACTATATTAGAGGGGTTAGTTAGGCTCTTAGTTTGAATGTTGCTGTCTTGAACTTGGGTAAGTTAGCTTGCTTTTTCTCTACTTAATCTTTATTTTTCTTTTTCTCTAATTCTTGATTACTGTTTTCTTCTATAACCATATATACTTCCACAACCTCTTCGAGTATATATAAATTCAGTATGGTATGGTGATTTGGCTAGTACCATATAGTACGATAAGATGATTACCCTTGTATAATCTGTACACACTGATTTCCAGTAATCATACTATGTACTATGTATATTATGTAACATATGTGTAACTAATAAATACTTCGAATAAATTAACTATATCAATGATATACCATAATCAATACTGTATAAGAAAATGCAAATTGCAAATCTAAACCTTTTTTATCCAACAATTTTTTAAAAAAATAATGGATTCAAAATTAAAAATCGAAATCGATACATTTAATACAAGTTCAAGAAATAACAATATTTCAAATCAACCCAAAGTAATTGTGCTATCTGATATATATGATGAGCCAGTACTAGTAATTTTTTAATTTTAATAATTATAATGATAAATTAATATTGTATAATGATAATAATTTTGTATTAAAGAAATCAGCATTGAGTTCATTTATTCGAATTTATGAAGTATTATTTGCACTATTGCCGTAGTTTGGTATTTGATTGCAAATTATTTAAAAAAAAATTAACTAATGATTTCACGAATAGGATTTACAAATTTTTAGCAGCTCTGAAAGTGTATATAATAGTGACAATAATTTAAATGATTATGTGTCTACAGATAATCTAAAAGATAATGATATACTTGAAAATGATTTAAAAAATGACAATAACTATAAGGTATACTATAATAATTATCTATATAATTTAATATTAATGTATATAATTTATATGTATATAGTGACTAATTACGGATTATAATTATGTAGCATCAACCAACATTTGTCCAATTTGGTCGCAATTTAATCATCAATCAAGTCAAATATTACCTTGAGTTTCAAGAATATTCTAAAACTTCTGAAACTGGTATCGCTAGTATATACAATGTTTCTAGTTGGAAACTAGATGATGCTAAAAATGCTTTTGGAATTTCTAATATCCAATATGCTTATAGCGATCCTGAAACTATTCGATCAATTCAGAAATATTCATTTTTAGGTGTACCTGTTAAAAAAACTTACTGCTTATGCCTTGGTGTAAAAGTATGTGAATTTGGCTCAGCAACTCTCGATATTAAACATAAATTAGTTAATTTTGAAGATCAACTTTATAAAAACATCTTTGATACAAATAAATTTTTAGTTGAAACATTTACTCTTAAGTAAGTAATAATATTTAATTTATAAATAATAATATGTAAATTTATTTACTATATTAAAATTTTTATTATAATTTTTAGCACATATGGTCAAGTTTATAATACACCATATTCTTATATTGATCTAATTACTAATATTCACTACAGTGGAGTTTCTATTCTTAGAAAATATAAACAAGTATGTAGATATGTATGTAAAATATTAAATATATATATTTTTTAATTTAATAATTTAATTATTTTAGATTGATAATATATTGACGATTCAAAAGTTTATTGTATGCCAAAAATATTGATTCAGTCAAAAGGGGCACTGTTATATTTCAATTAGTCAGCGTGCAAATATGGAATATCTTGAACAATTATTTCAAAATTATACATACTGTTCAAA